CGCCTCTCGTTTCATACAAGTGATCAGATCACTTGAAAACGAGCGGCGGCTCCACACTGTACACTTAGCTCTGCTTGTCCGGAGCGGGGCTGAGTGTACAAAAAAAACTACTCGCCCGGCGCCCGAAACTGCATGTCCCGGGCGTCGGGCGATAGGAATTCCACACCCCTGATAATGTACTGTATATAAGAAACCCCTGAAAGGTATTTTATACTCTTAAAGAGAAGTATTGGGAGAGTAAAATACTCTCTTCCCAATATTTAGAGCCGGCGTGGGACACTGCAGCTGTCACGCACAGCCTATATGTACCGAGAGCTGAGTGATTACATACCACTGATCGCTCACCTCACGGTCTCCTTCCTGCAGAGAGCAGCGGCTGTCCGTCAACACTCTCACCAGGGATTCAACCTTCCTCTCTCTGTTCCTCCAGCTCTCATTGGAGGTACAGACAGGGAGATGGTGGGCACAGCTAGCTCTGGCTCTAGAGAGGCAGAGCCAGCTGTCAATCAGGCAGCTGGGTGAATCTCAACAATATACAGCTACAGCCTGGCTCTGCACTGGTGGCATATAGCAGGAAGGAGACAATTTTATGCTGACTTTGGGTCACAGGAATACATTATTAAATGTGCTCCTCTTACTCAAATAAGTTTGTCTTTTTAGTTAGATCATCCCCATTTCCATGTTTCAGGTTTATATGCATCCAAGAATACTGTGGCTGATTTTAATGCAGATTGTTTAAAAAATGGTAAAGTAACTTATAATTCATAGTCTAAATATACAGGGGTGTCAATCGGTTGTTTATGAAGGCCAAGCGTATTTTTGTGCCAGAGAACAGTGTCCATAAATAGAACACAAACCTAGTGTTGAAGTAACCGACAGGTCACATGTTTACAATCCCATCATCTAACACATTGGTTCTCAACTGGTGGGTCGTGACCCAAAAGTGGGTTGCAACCCTGTGTTCAGTGGGTCGCGCATGCCTTCCACTTTTCTAGGCGAGAGGCTCCTCTGCCTCCCCCTAGCCCAGCACTGTCAGTTCTTGGGCCAAGCAGCCATTCAAAATATGCTACTCAGTGCCGAGCTTGAGGTGGGATGGGTCTATGGCTGTGAGGGAGCTCCATCCATATATGCATTGCTTAAAGCTCCCTCACGTGTCCTGTAGAGGTGCCTGTACCGGTGTGACATCACATTCTGGCTCCCACCATCTCTACAGGGCACGCAAGCAATGCACATATGGATGGAGCTCCATAACAGCACAGCAGCCCAGCACTGGGCGACAGGACAGGGCGACAGGACAGGACAGGGCGACAGGACAGGACAGGGCGACAGGCAAGGGCA